GTTAAAAGGGAGCACCTCCTCACGCAGGACCCCTGGCCGCGGGGGACGTTGGTGCACGGTCTCCAGGGCAAGTGTGAGCGCCAAATGTAGTAGATATTTGTAAGTGTGAAAGGGTGTGGGTGTGGGTGTGGGTGTTTGTGAGTGAGTGCACGATTGGTGTACCGGCGCTAGTGCGCCCATGAGTTCTGTAGGGTCTGCAGGGCATTTTTTCCGGGGCCGAGCCGGATTGCCCCCCCCCCCCCCATCCCCCCATTTTTTTTTGGGGGGGGGGGGGGGGGCCGACGACGCCGACGCCGATGCCGCCGCGGCAAAGTTCTTTCTTGCCTGGGTGCCCTTGGCGAGAATTCCCCCCCCCCCCCCTCCTCCCCATCAAAAAAAAAAAAAAAAAAAAAAAAAAAAAAAAAAAAAAAAAAAAAGGGGGGGGGGGTGTGAGTGTGGATGTGGGGGGGGGATATGTGCCCCCCCCCCCACCCCCCCACCCACCCGGGGATGCCACATCACGACCGCCCCGCCGGGGGCGGTCCCCCCTAGCGCCCGCCAGGCTCCCGTTCCTGCCGGACGGATGGAAGGCCCTGTCTCTGGTCGTGTTGGCTGCGGGCCTGCGCCGCCAACTATAGGGAGAGGCGGTTGGGTGCGGGGTTCGCGGGTGGCGGAGCGGGCTGCCGGGCGGGGCTGGGAGCGCGGGCCGCCGGAGCCGAGCGCCGCCCTTGGCCTGCTGTGTGGCGGCGGCGGCGGCGGCCGCGCGTCTCCCGCTCGGTCCTTTCCCCCGTGCCGCCGCCTGGCCTGGCCTGGCCTGGCCTGGCCTGGCCTGGCCTGGCCTGGCCTGGCCTGGCCTGGCCTGAGCGAGCGAGCGAGCGAGCGAGCGGTCCCCCCCGAGCGCCCGCCAGGCTCCCGCTCCTGCCGGACGGATGGAAGGCCCTGTCGCTGGTCGTGTTGGCTGCGGGCCTGCGCCGCCAACTGTAGGGAGAGGCGGTCGGGTGCGGGTGTTCGCGGGTGGCGGAGCGGGCGGGGGTGGGAGCGCGGGCCGCCGGAGCCGAGCGCCGCCCTTGGCCTGCTGTGTGGCGGCGGCGGCGGCCGCGCGTCTCCCGCTCGGTCCTTTCCCCCGTGCCGCCGCCTGGCCTGGCCTGGCCTGGCCTGGCCTGAGCGAGCGAGCGAGCGAGCGAGCGGTCCCCCCCGAGCGCCCGCCAGGCTCCCGCTCCTGCCGGACGGATGGAAGGCCCTGTCGCTGGTCGTGTTGGCTGCGGGCCTGCGCCGCCAACTGTAGGGAGAGGCGGTCGGGTGCGGGTGTTCGCGGGTGGCGGAGCGGGCGGGGGTGGGAGCGCGGGCCGCCGGAGCCGAGCGCCGCCCTTGGCCTGCTGTGTGGCGGCGGCGGCGGCGGCCGCGCGTCTCCCGCTCGGTCCTTTCCCCCGTGCCGCCGCCTGGCCTGGCCTGAGCGAGCGAGCGGGGTTGGCGGGCGGGCGGCCTGCCCAGCGAGGCCGTTCAGCCACGTCTTCCTTGGCTGGCCAGGGGACGGCTTGGGCTTTTCCCTGCCCCTTCGGCCCCCACGCCCTCTCGGGCCGAGGGCGGCGGGCCCTGGCTTGGCCTGCCTGCCTGCCTGCCTGCCTGCCTGCCTGCCTGCCTCGTCTTCCTTAGAACAGGGGTTGGCTCGGGCTTCCCCCCATCGGCCCCTGGCGCCCTCTCGGGCCGAGGGCGGCGGCGTGGGTCCTGGGCGCGGTCGTGTGTGGCTGAGGGCCTGCGCCGACAACGACAGGGGGACTGCCTCGGCTGCGGGCTGCGGGCGGCGGGCGGCGGGGGGCGACCCCCGCCTCGAGCCCGCTGCCGCTGCCGCTGCCGCTGCCGCTGCCGCTGCTGCTGCTGCTGCTGCTGCCGCCGCCGCCGCCGCCGCCGCCGCCGCCGCCGCCGCCGCCGCTGCTGCTGCTGCTGCTGCTGCTGCTGCTGCTGCTGCGGCCGCCGTCGGGGCCGGCCCGCCCGCTCGCGCCCGCCCATTCCCCGGTTGGGCGGCTTGGGCTTCCTTTCCCCTTTCCCCTTCGGGCCGGTGGCTGGACCTGCCTGTCGGTCTGCCCCGTCTGCCTCGTCTTCCTCGGGCAGGGGCTGGCTCGGGCCTGGCTGCCGGGGCCGTCGGAGGGGCTGCCTTCCGTGGCCCCGGGGCCGAGCGGCCCCTGCCCGCGGTCGTGTGGGCTGAGGGCCCGCGCCGACAACTGTAGGGGGGAACCACCTTCGGCCGAAGGCTGCTGTGGCGAGCTCGCCCTCGGGGCCGGGCGGGGGCCTTCCTCGCGCGGGCGGTGGTGCGGGGTTGCATCCAGCTGGTTGGGCCTCGCCCCCCGCGGCGGCGGCAAGTCTACGCGCGGCCCTCTCCCCACCCCCTGCCGAGCGTGCTCGCCCGCGGCGAGGCGGGCGCGGGTCCCGGGTCCCCCGGGGCCGGAGCCGGCCGGAGCTGGCCGCCCTCGGGGCCGGCCGGCCGGCGAGCGTGGCGGGCGGGGGCAAGAGGCGGTGCAGCGGGGTTGGCGGCTGGGGGCCCGTTGCTCCGCGCCCTCCACCCGCGAGAGAGCGAGGCGTTTACCGGGGCGGGGGTGGTGGGGCGTGCGGAGGGCGTCCCCTCCCTGGGCGTGGCGCAGGAGGGGCCCCTGTTTGCGGTCGTGTTGGCTGAGGGACCGCGCCGACAACAGTAGGGGGACACCCATGGCCGCATCATCATCTCTTCCCTCCCTCACCGTTGCGGCGCTCTCCCCTGCTGCTCTTCTGCTCTTTTCTCCCTCTTCTTACGTCCGGTGGGGTGTGGGGTGGTGTCTTTTGGGGGTTTGGGCTCCGTCCGTCCAGTCAGTGCTCTTGGCAAGCTCGGGCGTCGGTCGGTCCACCCTTCCCCCGAATTTCCCTTCCCCCCCGCACCTGGAACATGCAAAGGTCGCGGGCTCGCGCCACGATGCCGCCTGACCGGGGGCCGCCGGGGTAACCAGTCCCCGTGCCACCCCCGCCAGTGTCGGCTTGTGGTCCTGCCCTGTGGTCACACAGGCGACCGCCCCTCTCTTGACGTTCGGTCGCGCTGGCTGGCTTGCTGGCTTGCTGGCTTCCGTCCCATCCACGGGGGGCTCTCGGCACGGCTCCCCGGCCTCTTCCCTCCCCCCTCCCGGGGGTTATGGGAGGAGGCCGAACCCAAAAGTGTTTGTCAGCCCCGCCTGGGTCACCGGGGCCTACGAGGTGAGCGACGGCGCCGAGCCCAGCTTTGTGAGCCGGGTGTTTGGCGCCGTGGGCCGCGCGTTTTCTCAGGGCGCAGGGCGTCCTCTCCCTGGGCGTGGCGCAGGAGGGGCCCCTGTTTGCGGTCGTGTTGGCTGAGGGACCACGCCCACAACAGTAGGGGGACACCCATGGCCGCATCTCTTCCCTCCCTCACCGTTGCGGCGCTCTCCCTGCTCCTTTCCCCTTCTGTCCCTTGCTGAGCGCTCTGCTCTTTTCTCCCTGTCCTACGGTCCGGTGGGTGTGTGGTGGTGTCTTTTGGGGGTTTGGGCTCCGTCCGTCCGTCCGTCCAGTCAGTGCTCTTGGTAAGCTCGGGCGTCGGTCGGTCAGTCGGTCGGTCCACCCTTCCCCCGAATTTCCCTCCCTCCCCCGAACCTGGCACAGCAAAGGTCGCGGGCTCGCGCCACGATGCCGACCGGGGGCCGCCGGGGTAACCAGTCCCCGTGCCACCCCCGCCAGTGTCGGCTGTGGTCCTGCCCTTCACACAGGCGACCGCCCCTCTCTTGACGTTCGGAATGGTTTCCGAGTGCCGCCCCCCTTTTGCGGCCTTCCCCTCGCGACGGCTGAGCCCCTTGCGGTTCTTCTCCCCTCGGCCACGTTTCGCCGGTAGCGCGGAGTTAGATCCCGGGTGTGCACACCCTTGCGGCGAGAAAGGAAGAAACCCCCGGCAATCCCACGCCCCTCCTCCTGCGGAGCCCTCGGGTGAGGCAGGTTGAAGAGGAGACTGGGCCAGCGAGAGTACTACGTACTCCCCTCCCCCTTGCCACGGGCTTGGCTCGCTGCTCGCCTCCTGCCGGCTCCCGTTTGTGCATGCATGCATGCCCGGAGCCGAGCCTTGCAGCGCGAGTTGCGGCCAGGGCCCCATTGCGTGTGGCGTTCTTCGGGGAGTCGTATGTTGTTTTGTCTGCGGCCCGTTGCTGCGACGGAGAACGGTGGAAAGAGGAGGAGGAGGAGGAGAAGGAGAAGGCGGAGAGGCAGGCGGTGAGCAAAGGCGTGGCTTAGCCTTGTTGCACAGCTCAAGGGTGCGGAGCGGGACTGCCGGAGGCAGGCGTGGGTGAGCAGCCCTGACAGCTGTGAGCCTGTGCCCCACTGCCTTGGCAGCCCGCCTGTACCCCGGCTGGCTGGCTGGCTGGCTGGCTGGCCTGCCTGCGCCTTGCCCCTCTCCCCCCCTTCACCCCCCCTCCCCCTCTGTCCTCCCCGTCGCTGCACGACCACGATGGCGGCAGAAAGAAAAAGGGCTCGCGCCCGGGAGGGAGCTCGCCGCGGCCGTTGTTCTGGTCCGGCGACGCTGTCGTCTCCCTCCCCTGTGTGCGGCGCACCCTGAGCGAGTCGAGAGAGAAACGACCCCCAACAACCAGCCATCGAAAAGAGTGCGGCCCCCCCCTTTATTTGAAATGCCCTCCCCCTTCGTCCCCATTCCTTCCTGGTGTGGCCTCATGGCCGCAGCAGCGGGAGAGCGGGGCGAGAGTCGTCGTTGGGCGTTTCCGGGGGGTGGTTTTTGCCATGTGAAAAGCCAAAGTAACAATAACCGTTGTTCATATGACGACGACGACGACGACCACGCTAGTGTGCGTTGTTGCTTCTACCTGGTTGATCCTGCCAGTAGTCATATGCTTGTCTCAAAGATTAAGCCATGCATGTGTAAGTACAGGCCGACTTAAGGCGAAACCGCGGACGGCTCATTAAATCAGATATAACTCATTGGATCTCTGCTGAACCGCATTACTTGGATAACTGTGGTAATTCTAGAGCTAATACATGCCTTTGTA